AATAAAGTGAAAATCTAAAAAAATATAAAATATAAAAAGTAAAAACATACGGAGTATTAAATAGATATATTAAATTAAGTTATTGGGGGTCAATAGTACAACGTATATGTAATTTACCGAAGTTTTCATGAATAATAATTATAAATTTAGGATTTAATTTATAATATATTAAACATAGTTACTTATATATTTAATAATTATATTATAATATATAGATTGTATACACTACGTATATTAAAACGGAACCTATGTAAGTATGTAGTGCATGAGTTGATCAACTTACCAAATGCATATATGAACATGAATACGGAGTGATTATTATAATAATCTATTTATGAAAAGTAAGACCTAACTTTCCAAATAGATGAATACTAATAATTACTACTTATGAAAGAATGAAACGGCAATTATGTAATGACATGTGACTAATAGTAGTTCAATGAGTGACACATGGCAATGATACATAATAGAATGACACATGTCAATGTGACCTCCAATTGTATTATACTAGACGATAAACCCGTGCGTTGCACGGGAAATATAGGAACCCTTTGGTGATCCATATATGTTTACGGTTTATCAAACTTATCAACCATTTTAGTTTTTTCTCATATTTCGTATAATTTTTTCTGAGACAAAGGGATTATAAATTTTTGAGATAACAAAAATAACGAATGTTAGCAAAGTTTCATGAGACAGAGTAAGTGTAAGTTTTATGATTTTTAATTTATGAATGTGACTTTTCTAACTTGTAGTTACTAACTGTCACTGAGAAGTTGTTGTGTTCGTCATATTTTTATGAGAAAAATAATCAAAATACCTAAACTCTGAAGAAGCGTGAGATAAACACTCCAAACTTTCATATGTAATTTAAATACCCCAAACTTTATGTAAAATTTATTTTAGCAATATGGTCCTATATTATTCCTTTCAAAAATGTTATTTATGGTGTTAATTGCATAATTTAAAATAAAAAATTAAAAATATTGCAATTGTTCACTCTAGTGGGGGCATAATTATTTATTTTTCAATGGAAGTTTAGAATCTTAATTGTATTTTTTAGAATGCTAAAATATTTTAAATTGTGAAACTTACACAAAAAATTAACAATTTTGAAAGAAATAATACATGACTGGTGCTAAAAGAACTTTTTACATAAAGGTTGGGGTATTTAAATTATATATGCAAGTTTGGGGGTGCTTAATTCACACTCCTTTTAAAGTTTGAGGTATTTTAATTACTTTACCTTATTCTTATTGCTTATTGTTTATTTTTATTTTATTCAGACCAGATCAAATAAGGGACAATTCAAGTTAGATCAAATCGGAAAAATTAAGTTCACATGAGAAAGGTTTAGATGTATATTTATAGTTCTAACTATAATTATAGTTATAAATTTAATCACAATAATAGTGATGATAATAACAAAAATAACCGCAACAATAATAAACATTTAATTACATTAGCAATATTTAGATCTGAGTGAGATTGATTCAGATCAAATGAAAAAGATTCAAATTAGATAAAAAAAAGTTTCTGATCAGCTAAAAAAACTCAGATCATATGAAATATTAAAAATTCAAATAAAAACATTCCTATCCGGCTAATGGAATAACCCCTAAGAGAGTGTTTGCAAATACTTAAAAAAGCGATTCTCGACTTTTGGCTTAAAAGGCTAAAATTAGTGTTTCCAAATGACTTCTACTTAAATAAACGTTTATCGACTTTTGGCTGAAAACTGATCTTTACTTTTACTACTACACAAAAAACGCATATTTTACCAAACACGGTCAACTTTTACTTTTCAAAAACATTTTTTCTCTCAAGTGATACTAACTTTTACTACTAATCACTTTTTCCAAAATAATTTCAAAAAGTGTTTTTTTAAGCAAAAACATTTGAAAACATTTTTTAAATCTTCAAAAAAGGTATTCCACTAATTATTATTATACGGAGTACTAATTATTATTATACGGAGTACTCAATTAGTTTTAGTACTCCGTATTACCCAACTACTACTTTAGCAAATACTAATTAAAATACTAATTAGCTAGTATTATGCATGTTTTCGTAACTGAAAGTGCATTGATGAAGTATTAAGATAGATATTTAATTGAGACAACAATTTTTCACATGTTTTGACTCCAAATAGATCCCACCTGAAATCCCACCATAGGATCTTTATATATATAAAGATATATATATATATATATATATATATATATATATATATATATATATATATATATATATATATATATATATAGAATAAAGATCAAATGAGAACAATGCTTAACGTGAGAACGTGAGAACACCACATTTACCTCAACGTGATGCACAATAAGGCTCGCCCAATGCACTATTTCATGTTAAGCATAATATTTACCAAAATGCCACCGTGATTATTTATATAAGCTTGATTCCAGAAAAGTCAAAATGTGCACCGGACGAGCTCTATTGTGCATCACATTGGCTTAAATGTGAGTGTTCTCACGTTCTCACGTTAAGCACCGTCCAGAGGGACGGGAGGGACCGTCCGAACTTTACTGTTTGGGGCGATTCCCGGTGGAATTTTTTGATGAAATTTTTTGAGCATGTTCCTCATCAAGTCTAGTTTGTCCATACCAAATTTCAGCTCAAAATTCGACCGGGAAGGCAGTCAAATAAATTCTTGAAGCTTACTGCACATTCTGCGCATATATAAAGTGCAGTAAGTTTCAAGAATTTATTTGACTGCCTTCCCGGTCGAATTTTGAGCTGAAATTTGGTATGGACAAACTAGACTTGATGAGGAACATGCTCAAAAAATTTCATCAAAAAATTCAACCGGGAACCGCCCCAAACAGTAAAGTTCGGACGGTCCCTCCCGTCCCTCCGGAGGGACCTGAGCAGTCCTATATATATATATATATGTATGTATGTATGTATATATATATATATATATATATATTACGCCTCAGATATACGCCTCATTGCGCAATAAGGCTTACACAATATGCAATATTAAAAAAACACCACGACTACGCAATTCGCAATTTCAAACCTCACACCAACCTTTTAATAAGAAATTCTTTAAAACCATAAAATTTACACACTTAAAGGAGAAGCCAAAAAATGAATATATAATAAAAAAGAAGAAAGCAAAGAGTCAAAAAACATCTGTTGAAATGAAAAAAGCTGCCGGCCAACTGAAGAGGATATGATAGTAGAACATTGTTGAGTTGCACCTGTCTCTTATATGTCACTCATCTACATCTAATGGCATAGGGAGATATTAAATTGGCCCGAGAAGAACTGAAAAGTAAGAGACACATAGGAATTATATGAACTAAAAGAGAGCAAAGAGCTGCTAATAAAAACCTATGTTCTCCTAATTCGGAATGTAAGCTACACTTCACTCCTATTGAACACCACTTTATATTAAAAAATTATTGAATCTGAAATTACTTATTTTTCAATGTTCAGAACTCTTAATTAAGATCTTAAAGTTTTTTATTGCCTTCGCTTTTAAGTGGTACATATATTATTTTAGATACGGAGTACTATAAACTCTATTTACGATGAGAAAGCCATAAAGGTGCTACTTTAATTTTTTATGATGAATTGTAATGTCAAGTTAGAGGGCATGGTCTTACAAAGTTTTAATGTTATACTCCCTTATTGTTCCAAAAAATTGTTATTTTTCATTTTAATCAATTAATTTATGATTTCTATTATTTTTCTATCATTTGCATAAACCTCAACCATAATATTTTTACTTTAGTATTCTCGTGCAGATAAAATTTGACAAATTGTTCCAGAGCAGAGCAAGTAACATACTTTTAAGGATGTGGTGTTATATACGTATAAATTGTTGTCCAAGAATGACGAATCATAAGTTTCGGGATTCCAAGGTTTAATAAAAATGATGAATCTAATACTGCAATTATGAAGATGATGATGGACAAAAAAGTTTTTAGAAATTTGTAGTTGTCAACGTGCTTTGTAAGTTTTTATGCCAAAACGTGCAAATTACTTTGCCTATGGTTGATTTTAATTTGGTCCCATTTCCAACAGGATAATTGTTGAATTTATACACCATCATAACGGCTAATGATATGAAATATTGATGTACAAACCGTCTGGATAATCTATTGATTGTCAAACAAGACGCTTGAAAGGAGGGTTGAGTCCCCAAAAACCATAAATCGGTCTCCCACAGTCATATTTTGGCACATTTTAATCCGTATTTCATAGGTGGTAATCAAAATTTCTATCAAATGTGACTTGTTTAATTGTTTTGAAAAGGTTATCTCAAAATTGCTGAATACATTATACGTAGTACATTGCTTTAATATTTAAAAATAAAGTAAAACGCTGCACGGCACCAAAAACAAATTCAAGCCATTTACCTAATTAAACAATTTCAAGTATACTCTATTCATATTTAAGAAAATTCAGCCTAACGAAACATTTTAGGAAAATTTACTAGGATATGATTGAAGGTGGGAGAATTGAGGCGGCGGTGGCAGGGGAAGTGCAGCGGCAGGCGGATGGATCATTGAAGGTTGGAGAAAATAGTAGGAGCTTAAGGTTTTATAGATATGACCTAAAGGGTATTTTTGTCCATCTATATTATTTAATTAATTAATTATTATGAATTTGATTAAATATTAGTATTATTTTGGTAAAAAAACTAGTTAAGTCATAGATTGAGAAAGAGAAGAAGTTTTAGTAATACCTGGGGTGATTATCTCAACATTTTAATCAAGTTTTAACCTCCCCCAATCCCCCACCGCCAAATTGGCCCTGCCAGAAAGATTTTCTTTGTTCCAGACATTTATTGTCTATAACGTTGACTTTTGTGACACATTTTTTTATCTGTGGCCTAATTTTAGAGACAAAAACTATCAATGCAAAAGATTTTAAAAATATGTATTTAAATGTACAAAAACATAGACAACAGGGGTAGCATTTACTAGAAAAGATTGAATATTTGAATAGACGGAAACTACACTAAGTTATGAGCAGAAACAGAGTGATTAAAAATGCCACTTCTCCTTTTTTTTTGGATGAAAAATGCCACTTCTCCTTAAGAATACTTTATGTCACAGTGCATTCCACCACTTTCACCACACAAACATGCCCGTGCAATGAACGTATACTTTGTATGTCTAAGAACAAAAAAAAAAGTGAAATGTGAACATGGTGTCTAGAAGACCATCTACACAAAGCATTACCTCAGCATTTTTAGATACTTTGAAGTTAAGGACTTAAATACACGTCTTTTTAATTTACACAAAGCATTACCTCAGCATTATTAATACAGGTTGTATTAATATAGCTTGCCTAATTATAACATTGATCAGCATATATTTCTTCATCAGCTTAATTATGTCCTCAACTCATCACAAAAAAGGAGCTTACTCATATCCAAACAGCTGAACAAGGAACCAATGAGTCAAAGTCATGAAATTTGCTCTAATAGCAGGACTAGGAACCCATACAGATACGTGGTAACAAAAAACCAATCTTATACTAAAAGAACTCGAAGTCAAGAAATTTACCATCAGGCTTCATGTCTCCACCACCACCTCCTCCTCCTACTATCCCTTTACCGCTATTCCCAATGCCAACGAGATCAATTTGTTGCCCTACTTTCAACAAGGGCTGCTCAGCTTCGACAGGTTTAGGTATCTCGGGCGGTGTGCTACAACGGATCAAAGCCCAGTTAACCCCTTCAAAGAAAGGATGTTGCTTTATCTCTGTTGCCCCTCTCTTAACCCCTAGCCGATTCTGCGGCTCTTTAACCAGTAACCCACGGATCAGATCACGAGCAGCATAACTGGTTGCGGGTGAATCTGGAAATTTCAGCTGCTGCCCGACCACATTGAAAAGAGTTGCCCGATTCCCTGAACCTTTAAATGGGGTTTTCCCGTAAAGTAACTCATGCAAGAATATTCCAAACGTCCACCAATCGACTGCACTTCCGTGGCCTTCTCCCTTAATGATTTCGGGAGCTAAATACTCGTGGGTCCCAACGAATGACATTGACCTCACTGAAGTGGGTTCCGCGACTAGCTCAGGTAGTGCCTTGCTGCACGGTAGCCCGAAATCAGATCGGGGTTTGTGGGACCGTCTCTTGCTTTTCTGAGGAAAGATCCGCGGGAGGAAGCATGCAGGTTGAATGCAGACAGAAGTGGGTTCAATACAGGAAGGCTGAACACAGAACGAAGACCCTTGCTTGGATGGATCAGAATAGGTTTTTACGAGTGTTGGTGAAACGGCACATCTTAGGGAAAGATCAAAATCTGAAAGCATGATGTGGCCATCTTCTCGGACCAAAACGTTCTCTGGTTTCAAGTCTCTGTACACAACTCCCAGCATGTGAAGGTACTCAAGTGCCAATAAAACCTCTGCTGCATAAAATCTAATGCATCAAGAAAGAAAACCAAATTAATAAAGATACTCCTAGAAGATAATGTGATATTACGGAAATGCGTCTTATCATAAAATAATTGTATGTTTAAATAAAATCATACACTTTAATCTTATCCTAATATAGTTGTAGCTATTAAAAACATGTTACACATTAAGGCACCATACAAAAAAAACCATTTTGTCTTTAATAAAAAAAATTAACATCAAATGCAAACCTATAAACCCATTTATGTAGGGACATTAATATGAATAAATTTGAAAGATTAGAGAAAAAGCAGGGCTTGACTTCCTAAAACGACCATTTTGCTAAATGACAATATATTTGAAATGAAAGGAGTATAACATTCAATTGCCAGGTACAAAATCAGTATAACCTAAGGAGAAAATATTACCAAGATACCAAGAAGCTAAAGCTAATCACATTACCCCCTGACACTTTTCCCATGTGAAAAGTGAATACCACCTTGGAAAGTAATCTGACATTACCAAGGTAACAAGAGGGAACAATAAAAAAGACATACCTGGCAGCATACTCAGAGAAATGTTTTCCAGGTTGGCGTTGCCGCAAAGTATGAAGATCTCCCCCAGGACAATATTCCATCACCAAACAATAAAACCGGTCCGTTTCAAAGTGAGTGTACAAAGTTGGCAAGAACGGGTGATCCAACAGTTGCAGTATCTCCCTCTCTGTCTGAGCACGGCTCAACTTCTTCCTGCTCGCAAGTGACGCCTTATCCATCACCTTCATAGCGAAAGAACAGAAGGTCCCACACAGCTCGGAAAGATAAACGCTCCCGATGTCCCCACACCCCAGCCTCCTATGTAACTTAAAGTGATTCATCCCCAACATACCATCTCGTGCCCTAACGGCAAGAATAGCATTCCATCTCGGATCGTTCCCTTTGTGAGGCTTGTTGGCTGTTCCGGTGACATTGCTCCAGTTACTTTCATCACTTAGATCACTGCTATTACTCGCCCTGCTAATGCTTGTTTGCACACTCTCAAGTGAATCAAAGTTTCTGTCTATACTCAGCATGCCATCGCTCATCATCCCGTCACTCTTATATGTGCTTGTACAACTATTAACAATGCTCATAGTGCAGCTACTGAGTGGGCTCACGTTCCCACTTGGAGGGAGAGAAGCATCCCAAACACATTCTCTGTCTTCAGAATCTTGTGCCAGGCTGGCTTCTGTGTTTTGTGATGGTCTCGGGACAGCGAAAAGAGAAGAGACTCTTGCCTGATCGTTGGGTTCTTCAAGAAGAGATTGGCCTCGTTTTACATTAAAGAATTTGTCTTTGCTAGATGGGCTCTGGCTAATCGGTACATATACTGGTCTCATCAGGTTTGTGTCAACAGGTTCAGCTGGGTGGGTGGCCCCACGGAAGGATGAAGAATTGCTATCCTCATATGAATCGGCACTGCTCTTGAATGATGAACCAACATCCAGGGTAACATCATCATCATCATCTTCTTCTTGACAATAAACAACCCCTTTCCATGTTTGTAGAGGTCCGCTTAAGTGAAGATCTTGAAACCCCCGCAAGTTGGGTGTGGTCACTTTGGCCTCGGTAGGTAACTGAGTGGGAAGAGGAACCACCTTAGCCTCTAATGGTAACTGTCTTGGAAGCGGTTTAGATTCAGGAATTGGTAACATGTTCATCAATTTAGCCTCTGATGGCAATTGTCTTGAAAGTAGTTTTGATTCTGGACCCCTTTGCATTTTTTACAATTAAATATCATGAAAAGAACACGTCTCAGCTGCAAAAACATCAAGAAAAGAAGATTACTCCCAAGTCCAAAACTCAGTTATACAATCACATAGAATCACATTTCAATGTAACCTTCATTGGTAAGAAAATATGCAACAATTACGGCGCTAATCATGTAAACAGCATTTAAGAACAGCAATTTGTGGATATCATAGTGACTGAAAGAAATTCTCATTACAAAAGAAATTTGCACTTTACACTATGCCCTTGTTTCATTGGGATCATTATTTTGTTGATTTATTACATTGACATGTGAAGACACATAGAAAAGGGCAGCCCGGTCGACCAAGGCATCCGCGCAAGGAGAGGGTCCGGGGAAGGGTCCCACCAAAAGTATGTATAAGGAGAGAGCCTTCCCCCGTAAAATTTTGACAAAAGGCCGCTCCCAAGACTTGAACCCATGACTTCTCGGTTACACACCAACACCTTAACTGGTTCGTCAAGGCTCCCCTTCTAAATGTGAAGATGACATTATTTATAAACACATGATTTAACTAAACATATACAGAGTAGTTTTTTTCTACTAAAGGACTAACAAACACTAGCACGACGGAAATCAACCCCACTCCCACTCCCCCAAATCAAAAGCCCTAAAAGTACAAGTAAAAGTAAATAGCAAGTAGCATGTTTTAGCAATCAAGTAATTTTACAATAATCCCTACCCAAGGAAGAGGCCTAGCTGAGTACTTCACATTTTAATGGTCAAATGTGCATTATAATAATCCAGAAAACAAGAACATCTTTAAATTTGTTTTAAAAAAATGCTGTAAAAACAATTCATTAACCAGAATATCGTTATTCATATTGTTCAACACATAGAGAAGCAATACGCATCAGCAGATCCCTACTCACACGCAGCTTTGCTTTCTACCATGACTTGTATAGTTACCAAAGTATTTCATCAATAACCAGAGGTTCATTCTTAAGTTGTATTCTCGAGAAGCCTCTCCGCAAAATGGGATCAGACCCACACAATATCAATCACCCCTAACTGCAAAGAGAACAACTCATAGACTAAAGAGTACTCAACATGCAGCAGCCACTCCAAGGGAACGGTACCTAGATAATAATAATAAGCCTAAAGGCAGGCAAGCAAGCAACAAACGAGCAAAAAAAGGCATTCTCACGCAGGCAGAAGGAATTAAAACAAGCGGCCGCACTATTCATGAGCTTGTTAAACCCAGATCTGTGAAGGGCAACGAAAATTGAATATCTCACTGTGAATGAACCAAACATAAATTCACACCTGCTGTGTAATCTAGTCTAGTATACGGATCAAAGAACAAATCCTCGATTCCCCGTCCAGTATTTCTGCAGAAAAGAACCAGCTGGGGTGATAAATGGGATTTAACGGAGCTGCAAGGGCCAATAGCTTAGATGGTAGGGAAGCGTGGAGGAGGAGTGAGCATATAGGGGATGGAGGGTGAGCGGAGGTGAGGAATGGCAGCTAAAGCTTATGCCGACAAGGCGGCAGAAAGAGACAGAGCGGCTTTTGCTTTATCGTCGTTTGAGGAAGGGAGGGGCTCGCCGCTCCACTACTTTAATTGCTCGCATCGGGGATCCCCCACCCCCCCAATCCAAATTCTCTTTACTTTTATTGATGGAATGGAATGGAATGGAATGGAGAAGAAGATTGAAATGTCGTGGACTATTACTGTGTGTATTTGTTTTTTGCACTACCAAAAATTATTAACAATCATCATATCCACCAACCTCTTCCAAACATAAAATACTCATTCACCAACAACCGTACAAACCATTGTCATCCACTTTTGTCTTATTTTCATTTCGGTGAACAATGTTTCTTACGAGTCCCTAAATCTTTTATCATTTTAATTTAAACTGATAAATACGTAAATACATATACTCATACTCCCTCCGTCCCTAATCTTTCTCCCATTTCGGCTAGGCACATTATTTAAGAAAGTGGGTTTTGTGTGGAGGAGAGTTGTGCAGAGGAGAGAGAAATGTGTAAGAATGTGTAAGAATGGTTGTAAACCACAAATTCTTTGCCAAAAAGGGAAAGAGGAGATAATTTTGGGACAGACGAAAAAGGAAAGTTTGAAGATAATTCAGGGACGGAGGGAGTAGTTTTTATTTTATTACTTTAAATACAAATCATAATCGGACAAATTTTATGTAACAGAAAGAGTTATGAGAAGATACTTAAAACTATTTTATTGTATAACCGATTTGATTTCCGTTAATAGGAACAAATTTGACTAGATACGTGTATGTGTTGTTCTTTGCGTACAAATAATTTTTGTCACCTTGATCAGTAATATACTTAATGCTACTAACATCTTTTTAAGTTTGGTCAGATGAATTCGAGTCCATATATCCTACAACTTCCAAGAAATTGACCTGAACAAAATATAAATCAGAATTAGTTTACGAAATCAGGGCTATTTCTATATAGATGTATTAGTACATCATTGATCAAGCAAGCTTTCAAATATTCATACATATCATGTTTACAAAAGTATCACTTAGAAAACATTATATTTTGAAACCAAATTAAAAACAAGAGAGAATTACCTAAATAGGAGTAAAAATGTTTTGAAATTCCAAAATAGGAGTATCATGTTTTTTATTCCCTAATGATGGAAGTAAATCCACCGGAAAATAATTAATAAGAGGTAGCCGAAAATAATTAAAGTGCTCAGGATAATCTTTAGAGAGATAAATGTATGTAGTGTATTCAGTGTATTGAGCTTGATTAACTTTCCAAAGATTACATGATTTTATAGTAGAAAATAAGACATAAAAGATTCGGGCGACGTGGTCGCCATGTTCGAATTGATATGCAAATCAATAACCCGGATCCACAGAATCCTTTGTTGATTGTGAATATCTTGAAAAGACGTCGCTGATGTAGTTTGTCGTACGGAGTCGCCATGTAGCTTCTGCCATGATGTCCAGAGACACCATGTACATATTGTTTAGATAAGCTTCTACTACTATGTCCAGGGTCACTGTGGACGCTCCTCTGGCTAAGGTACTTGATCGCGTCCATGGTTGCTGTGGACATGCTCTCTAGATAGGCTTACAATGACATCCACAGTTACTCTGTACTCCCTGATCTTCTACTAACTCTTGTCCACAGTCGTCATGTACAGTCTTTTATCTCCGAACCCGCCCACGGTCACCACGTACGAGCTTTTCTTATACCTTATCATCATCCGTACATAGTTACCGTGCACATCAACTCTTAACCCGTTTATCCATGGTTGGGATAATTATACCATCATAAGCCCCCCACTCCCTAAGCCAAATAGCATATTGGCTATAGGGAGTATAGAGACACAGTTGCCGTGGCTATAGGAAGACATGGTCACCATGTCAATTTTGGTTTTTTTTTTTTTATTATTCATTCAATCATTTAGATTTTTATTTTTTATTTTTAACCAGAATTTGTATTTCATATTCCCAATTTTACTTCTTCCCTGGCAGCTTCGTTGATAAGGGTCAACCACCGCCATAGCTGTTCTGTCCAGACCGCAGCTCGCCGGCAACCAAGCCTCCGTCGTCCACTGTCCGCCGGCGTCCCTTCGCGCAACCAGCAAGCCTACTTAGAATTCCTTTCTGCCCTTGCTTCTCATCAGCTTCCACCGACCGTCGCGAGCCAGAGGAATCACCGAACTGCCACCGGCCATTGAACCTTCGTGGCCGAATCCAGCACCGTTTGTGAGTTGTTCTTTACTTCAGGTCACAACCCTTCTTCTTCGTTTCTTTTTCTCAGTTGCCGCCCCTGTGCAGCCGGCAGGCCCTCTTGGGTGATGTGTTCTGTCGCCGTCGGCCTTCCGTTGAGCACCAGAACATTCCGGCGACACCGAGGACTGTTCGTCGTCGCCGTCCAGCACCTGCGCCGTCACCATCTTGCTCTGGTTGTCCATCCCGATTCAGCTGTCGTCGTTATCTTGCTCTAGATTTTGCACCGCACAATACGTAGGTAAGCACTGTCTCCCTTTTGTCTTCTTTCCTTTAATTTTGAATTGATTTCTTTCCCCAGATAGTAAAGAAATATTTTAGTTTTGTCTTGACCATAGCTGCCTCGGCTATACCCTTGTTACCCGTTTACTACTAGTATTAATTTTGGCTTTGAAACATAGCTCCTCTGCTATCAACTGTAATGACATCCTTTTCATTTTTTTTTAATATCTAATGACTGATATACGTAGTATTTTTTTTTTATAATCAGTGGCTGATTTTTCTCTTGCTTTTTTTGCATAATATTTTAGCTGTTAATACCTTATGGATGTACTGGACTCCATAGACTCTGATGAATTGCTCAGTGGTGACGGGGAATTAGTGTTGGAAAATTTTCCTCATCCTTGGGCAGATGTTAATTCTGATGTTGAAGAAATTAGTCCCATAAAGCCACGAGCCGCTTCAGTCAAACCACCAAAACGTCGCTACCGTGGTCTGTATCCACCCTTAGACCCGAGCCCCATCTTACACTACAGGTCGCGCCTCTCAGTTTCCAAGTTTCAAAAGTATAAGAAATTTTTTCCGTCCACAGTGACTGTCCGATGTCCCGATTCGGAGGATATTGTAACCGATCCTCCTAAGGGTCACTTTTTCGGGGTGCATATTCTTTCCATAAAATTAGGATTCCGCTTTCCCACACACCCTTTGATTATCGAGTTTTTAAATGATCTTGAAATTTCACCTTGTCACTTGACTCCGCTCGGTCATCAGTATCTGGTAGCTTTCCTGGTCCGGTGTGAGACACTTGGGATTGAACCGTCCCTAGACCTCTTCAAGCACATGTTCCGAGCTGGGCAGTGCTCGGCATCTGATAGTCTGTCCTGGGTGTCTATCTCTCAGCGCAACCACTTTGACATGTGGAAGATCACTCGTAGCAACGAAGCCAATTGGAAAGAAGAATTTGTCTATGTGTCGTCTGGATCTCCGTTACCTTTTTCATCGTCTTTGAATTGTCGATTTAAGAAGTATTCTGATCGGCTTAAACTTGCAAGTGTACAAGTGCCGATGTAGTAATAAAATCCGGTAAAAATACCGAGTCGAACACGAGGAAACGTTGTTTATATGATTCAAAAATTGAGAATATAATTTGTAAAAGACTTGGTAAAAGAGTAAAGATTTTTGGTTTTTCAAGTGATAATAAAAGCAACCAAGGGTTCGGGATTACTCCTAAACGACTCCTAACGATTAATGTATATTCTTTCACCAATTCTTATGAGTGGAATGTCGCTAAAGTATTCTAACTCCTGTTACGGCAGCGAGATTGTGATTAATTCTACGTGTGAATCCCGTCACGGTTCACATTCATCTAAAATTAACCTCATTGAAGATTAGGACATTATTACAACCACCATATTCAATTGAGGTATATTTCTATCCACAATTAGAATATGTCTAGCCTTTAAGTGCACGGTTTATAACTCAACGTTAATTGCTCAAATAAACCCAACGATATAATCATACGTTGTACACCGTAGTCATACACATTAAAATATAAAGGAAAGATCATAATAATTTGGTTGAGAACATACATCAAACACCTAGAGTGCGTAAAGTTTCATCCCTAACCTTGGCTATGGAAAATTAGCTAGAGCAACTCATAATGAAATTACAAGTATTAAATTGATGAAATACAATGAAATACATAAGAAGATAATACCACAACTCCAAAGCTATGGTGGATAATGGGATCCCCAAGTGTAGAACTTCTCCCAAGACCAAGGGGTTGATCTTGGAGTGCTAAAATGGAAGTAAAGTGTATGGAATATGGAATAATCACTTGAGAGGGCTTCCATATGCTTAAATATTGGGTCTTCAACGGCCATTTTTGGACAAGGAAGCAAGCTCCTTAATGGGGTTTGGAGCTTCTCTCGAATGATTGTGATGACCGTTGCCTGTTTTAATCAGTGCCAGACGAAAACCGGGCGACATTCGCAAAAGCCGGGCGGCTTTTGCGCGTTTAAAATAGCCTGCCTTCGCTCCAGGGCCCGAAAACCGGGCGTCATTTACAAAAGCCGGGCGGCTTTTGTAATTTAATTCTGAACAATTCATTCGGCGACCAAAAGTCGGCCGGGTTTTACGAAAGCCGGGCGGCTTTCGTCCTTTCTTGCTCCGGATCAGTTTTTCCAGTTTTGGACGCGAAAATGAGCTTGGGGACCAAAGGCCGGCCGCCTTTGGCATAAACCGGGCGGCTTTCGTCCGTCTTGGGCCTTTTTGTGGTCTTTATTTGTTCCTCGGGATGCGTTTGGTTGACCTTTTTCCGTCGGTTTCTTCGTGTGTATTCTACCATCCTTGTATTTGATCCAATCGTTGATTTAGAACACTTCTAGCAAAACGAGGCAGATGTGTGAAGATTTTATTCTTTTTACACATGAAAGCGTTTTAAGGTGAATATATAAAACACGTTAATAAAACGCTTATCAAATACCCCCACACTTGAGCTTTGCTTGTCCTCAAGCAAAATTCAAAACTTTCTATGAAAATATTAAGGCAAAACCTTAGGAAAAGTTTCTTTTGAAAAAGGGTTTGAAGGACAAGGGCTTTGCTAAAAAAAAGATCAAAAAAATGGACCAAAAATGAACAAATTTTTCAAGTATAAAGTCACCCCCCCACACTTATTCCACATTGTCCCAATGTGAAGCACAAGAGTAATTAAATGCAAAGCAAGAAAATAAGCAATCAAATAACACATAATAGGCACAAAAGTAGCACAAGGAGTTTAAAGAAAAACAAAGAAAAGGTGGTTCAAGTTTAGTATTTTTAGTACACTTCCCTTTTCATAACCTACTCATCCCCTTCATTTCCATCTCCTTGGGGAGGGAAATAAAAGTGCGGGTCATAAGGTGGCGGTGGTGGAATGCTGAAGTGCCGCCCTAACTCTTGGCAATAGTAGTTCATGTTCCAAAGATGACTCCCCATGCCTTCAATAGCCCGCCGTTGGTCCCGCAAATCCCGCCGATGAACCGCAAGCTCCGTGTGAATTTGACCAAATTGTTCGGTCAAATAGTCCATGTCGTAATGAGCTCCGGCTTGAGGTACGTGAGCCGCCTCCTCATGGTGCTCCTCATGGCCTCCCTCGGGCTCTCCACCTTGGGCTTCTCCTCCTTCCATCATCGCTTCTTCATTTTCTTCGGGCACGACTCTATGGAATCTCTCCACGCACCTCCATGGTCCTCCGTGCGGCGGTTGGACATAGCGAAGGTGTATCATGACACTATCATCAAGCACGGCGTGTGTCTCCCGTTCTTCTTCCCCTCTAAAGCTAACACCAAAATGCTCAAAAATGTTAGATAGTAGAATAGGGAAAATGAAGGCCTTATCTTGGTTATTGCTCAAGGCCGCGCTCCACAATTGTTTGATGATGATGCTTGATAGAGGAATCCCCTCACAACGTCCAAGCCCGGCAAGCATCCTATACGCGAAGTAGAGGTCGGCGTTTCGAATTTTGTTGTAGCCACTTGCTCTCGGCATGACGTTGAATGAGTAGAGGTACATCAAAAGTCGGGCCCGGATGTGTGGTTGACCAAGGTTCTTGGTCATAAGCTCGTGTCCTTGCAAGCCGAAATATTGCATCGCATCCAAGGGGTTGTATTCAACGTCGCTATTCATTGCTCCGGCTTGGGAAGGGGCGAAAGGGATGCTGTGGTTGGCGATGCGAAACTGAGATCTCAAGAGGTCATTTGTGATAGTGATTTTTACCCCTTTGACCCGGCTCTCAATCATCTTTCGGGGGCTATTTCCCTCGATATTTGCGAAGAATTCTTTGACGAGCTCCGGGTAGAAGGTGCCTTCAAGATGTAGCACCGGCTCCCAATCGATAGTAGCGAAGGCCTCGGTGAGACGGTACTCGTGGTCAATAGGTTGTGACACCGTCTTCTCAACAACGAAATCGTTGTCCCTAGATTCCAAGTACCGTTCATAGCACTTGGTGTTGACAAACCGGCTAGAAGGCAAGATGGTGGAGGAGGCCGCGGGTGCCTTGTTGTTCCTTGCCCGCTTGGGATTGCTCGGGCCAGCCTCGGTGCTAACGGACTTCCCCTTTGGAGCCATTTGAGCCTACAAACTCAAACAATTCTAGTCAATTTTCTTAAAAATTTGTCAAAGTTTCCCCTAAAAATTGACTTTAATCACAATTCATCACAACCAAGACCAATATAAATACAACATTGCCTAACAACAGTTAATCACAAGAATACAATTGAAAATCCCCAAATTTGAACAACAATTTCGAACCATAAACCCCCAATTTTGACCAAATAGCAAAAATTTCAAATTGATGAAAATAACTACTTGAAAAGAGGTTGAAATGGTTCATACAAGCAATATAGGCAACAAGAACAAGATATCATGCAATGAATTAGGCCTAAAAGCTATCAATTTGCATAAACCCTACAATTCGAAATTTGGGAAGAACAACCAATTCTATCGATTAAATGAGGAAAAAGCTATGAAATTGAGTTTAAGAAGTGAAGGAGATGGAGAAATACCTGTTTTGAGCTTGAAAGAGGAGAAGAAACGTGAAGAAAGGGGGGTTGTCGTTCGAGCTCTCACGTTCGTCGGGCGTCTTTTGGGAGTTGTGTGCGTGTGTTTGTGTTTAAACAGAACAGGTAAAATAACAATCGTCCCCGAAAGCCGGGCGACTTATGCGAAAGCCGGGCGGCTTTCGGTTAAACAGAATGTTCCCAGAGCCCGTAAGCCGGGCGGCTTACGTGAAAGTCGGGCGACGTTCGATTTAATTAAACTGGAATTACCTTCGGCGCCCAAAAGCTGGGCGACATCCACGAAAGCCGGGCGGGTTTCGTGTGCGAGAAAAATACCTGGGGAGCAGACCTTTAAACCGGGCGGCGTGTAGAAAAGCCGGGCGGCTTTCATTGGTTTCGCCTATTTCGCTCCTTTTCTTTGAACTTTGACTCTAAACTTGAATTTTCTTGCCCTTTTCTCAACCCCTACATTTGAATTGCATTGTCCACAAGCAATAAGAGTATAAAATCATAATGGAAGATAAACATGTAAATAAAAAAAAGATATGAAATTGGGTTGCCTCCCAATAAGCGCCTTCTTTAACGTCGTTGGCCGGACGTTCTTCGTGATCATTTCTTGAATGGATAGGAAGTTGTATAGTACTCTTTGTGCAGCTTCAAATGATGGCTATTGACGGCAAAAGGTTTATTCTCCCCTTGTTGGATCACCATCTCTCCAAATGGTTGAACCTCGATGATGGTGAATGGTTCCGACCAATGAGGTTCCAAGTTTTCGGGCAATAATCGGGACTTTGAGTCATAAAGAAGAACTTTATGCCCAACTTGAAGTTCTATTTCACCTTTCTTCTTGTCATGCCGTGTCTCAAATTTCTCCTTGTAGATAGGAGGGTCTTCATGTGATTCATGCTTCGGAGTACTTTGCGGTGTAGTATCAAATGTGGAGTTGACACTAAAACATGTGGAGTTGATAGGTGGATTCCTCAATGATTCCCAAACGTGAAACTCTTGTTCTTCTTCTCCAATGCGGAATTTTACTATTCCGTTCTTAACATCAATAAGAGCACCCGCCGTGGCTAAAAAGGACCTTCCAAGAATAACCGGAATCTCCATTTCATCCATTTCTAGAATAAGAAAGTCAACGGGGAGATAGAATTTGCCAACCTTTACAAGAACATCTTCCACCACTCCGATAGGATAACGTATTGTTCTATCCGCCAATTGAAGAGCTATGGTTGTAGGTGTAGGCTCCCCCACACTTAGCTTCTTGAATAGAGAGAGTGGCATTAGGTTGATGCTAGCTCCAAGATCACAAAGGGATCTTACTTCTCCTAGACTCCCAATAGAACAAGGAATGGTGAAACTCCCGGGATCCTTCATCTTCGGCGGTAGCTTATTTTGGAGAATGGCACTACATTCCTCCGTGAGCGGTATGGTTGTAAAATCAGCCAACTTCTTCTTGTTGTTGAGGATATTTTTCAGGAATTTTGCATATGAGGGTATCTCCGCTATAGCCTCGATGAAAGGGATGTTGATGCTCAACTTGGTGAAGATGTCTAGGAACTTCTTGAATTGCTTTTTGTCATCTTTCTTCTTCAACTTTTGAGGGTGAGGGATAGGAGGAACATATGTTGCCATGGGTGGTGGTGATGAGACATGCTCCTCTAGCCCTTCATCTCCTTGCTTCTCCATTGGTGCATCTTGAGTAACCGGCCCCTTCGTTTCCTTACCACTTCTCAAAGTGATAGCCATAGCCGTTTCTCTTGGGTTGACCTCCGTTGTTGTGGGAAATCTTCCATGCTCTCTAGTGGTTCTCTCTTGTGCAAGTTGGCCAATTTGGACTTCTAAGTTGTGAATAGAGGACTTGGTATATTGCTCAAGACTGTCCATGCGTTGATTGAGCTTCCTATTTTGATCCTCGAAACGTGAATCAAGTTTTGTGAATTGTGTGTGAAGATTCTTGATAGATGCCTCCACTCTACAATGGTTCTCCTCACTTTGGGCTTGCATAGCGGCTACATTTTTTGTGAGAAGCTTCATCATCTCCTCCATGGTAGGTTCTTTGGATTGGCCAAATGTGGGAACTCCGGGTTGATGGCTTGAAGAATTACCTTGCGGTCTATAATTGTTTCCTTGATTATACCTTTGTTGATTGTTGGAGAAGTTATTTCCTCCTTGGTTTCCTCGTTGCCCATAAGAGTTCATGTAACTAACATCCTCAAGATGTTGAGATGAGTTACTTTCCACATTGGAGACACTCTCCACATTTGCCGCTTGTTTTACACTTCCAATAACGGCTTGCAAAGCCGTGTGAATTGATGCTTGCACATTTTGTTGCATTTTGGTTTGAAATTCTTCAAACCTCTTGTCAAGTTCATGAGTGATGGAAATTTCATTCACTCCCGCCACCTTGATGTCTCCTCCTTGTAGTTGAGGATTTGAAGCAATGGACTCAAGAATCCTCAAAGCTTCCGTCTCCGTTTTGTTTCCAATGTACCCCTCCGCTCGGTTGTCTACAATAGCTTGACAAGATGGGTTCAAGCCATTGTAAAAAGTGTCAATTTGGAGGTCGAGAGGGATGCGGTGATGAGGGCATTCCTTCAACAAAGACTTGAAACGCCTCCATGCGTCTTGAAAAAGTTCTCCAACTTGTTGTTTGAAGTTAAAGATTCTTTGTCGTAGCTCTTGCGTCATTGTGGGAGTGTAGTACTTGGAGATGAAAACATTGTATATTTCATCCCAAGTAGCGTAGGATGCCGGTGTTTGCTCTAGAAACCACCCTCTTGCCGCTCCCTTCAAGGTGTAAGGGAAGCACTTGAGCCTTAGATCACCTTCACTTAGCCCATTCCTAGGAACACCTTGAATGAACCCATAAAATTCGGTGATGAAATTTAATGGATTCTCCCCCGGTTGTCCATAGAAGTGCGGCATAGCATTGAAGTAGCTATTCCGCAACTCATAGTCTCGTGCCGCCTCGCTAAGCACGATGCAAGAAGGAGTGGTGGCAATAACGGGCCTCTTCCGTTCATTGAGTGTGGGAAGCATTGTTGTAGCTCTAGCTTCCTTCTTCTTCCGATTCTTTCTACAAGCTCTCTCAATCTCAAGATTGATAGGTTCAAGGTTTGTAGAGCCTTGACTTCTCAATAGCATGCACTAAGAGCTTGTCTACACAACAAAATTCAAAACAATACCACGTGAAACGTAAAGGGAAAAATCAGGAATTTTTGTTGAATCAAATAAACAAGACCGTTTCCCCGGCAACGGCGCCAAAAACTTGATCGGCTTAAACTTGCAAGTGTACAAGTGCCGATGTAGTAATAAAATCCGGTAAAAATACCGAGTCGAACACGAGGAAACGTTGTTTATATGATTCAAAAATTGAGAATATAATTTGTAAAAGACTTGGTAAAAGAGTAAAGATTTTTGGTTTTTCAAGTGATAATAAAAGCAACCAAGGGTTCGGGATTACTCCTAAACGACTCCTAACGATTAATGTATATTCTTTCACCAATTCTTATGAGTGGAATGTCGCTAAAGTATTCTAACTCCTGTTACGGCAGCGAGATTGTGATTAATTCTACGTGTGAATCCCGTCACGGTTCACATTCATCTAAAATTAACCCCATTGAAGATTAGGACATTATTACAACCACCATATTCAATTGAGGTATATTTCTATCCACAATTAGAATATGTCTAGCCTTTAAGTGCACGGTTTATAACTCAACGTTAATTGCTCAAATAAACCCAACGATATAATCATACGTTGTACACCGTAGTCATACACATTAAAATATAAAGGAAAGATCATAATAATTTGGTTGAGAACATACATCAAACACCTAGAGTGCGTAAAGTTTCATCCCTAACCTTGGCTATGGAAAATTAGCTAGAGCAACTCATAATGAAATTACAAGTATTAAATTGATGAAATACAATGAAATACATAAGAAGATAATACCACAACTCCAAAGCTATGGTGGATAATGGGATCCCCAAGTGTAGAACTTCTCCCAAGACCAAGGGGTTGATCTTGGAGTGCTAAAATGGAAGTAAAGTGTATGGAATATGGAATAATCACTTGAGAGGGCTTCCATATGCTTAAATATTGGGTCTTCAACGGCCATTTTTGGACAAGGAAGCAAGCTCCTTAATGGGGTTTGGAGCTTCTCTCGAATGATTGTGATGACCGTTGCCTGTTTTAATCAGTGCCAGACGAAAACCGGGCGACATTCGCAAAAGCCGGGCGGCTTTTGCGCGTTTAAAATAGCCTGCCTTCGCTCCAGGGCCCGAAAACCGGGCGTCATTTACAAAAGCCGGGCGGCTTTTGTAATTTAATTCTGAACAATTCATTCGGCGACCAAAAGTCGGCCGGGTTTTACGAAAGCCGGGCGGCTTTCGTCCTTTCTTGCTCCGGATCAGTTTTTCCAGTTTTGGACGCGAAAATGAGCTTGGGGACCAAAGGCCGGCCGCCTTTGGCATAAACCGGGCGGCTTTCGTCCGTCTTGGGCCTTTTTGTGGTCTTTATTTGTTCCTCGGGATGCGTTTGGTTGACCTTTTTCCGTCGGTTTCTTCGTGTGTATTCTACCATCCTTGTATTTGATCCAATCGTTGATTTAGAACACTTCTAGCAAAACGAGGCAGATGTGTGAAGATTTTATTCTTTTTACACATGAAAGCGTTTTAAGGTGAATATATAAAACACGTTAATAAAACGCTTATCATATTCGTACCCGAAACTTCCATTTGACCAGGAGACATGGCCAGCTATGATTCTTTCTGGAGGACCGTATAGCCTCTCTGCCTTTACTTCCGAGGACCGCCTGACCACGGTTGGACTCTATTCGCCGTCACCATGTTCGGGTGCACACGCATCCACGTCCACGGATCAAGGTTGTCCACAGTTACCTTGTCTATAGGAGATAATACACGCATATATATTAACTAACACATATGCATACCTTTTTTTTTCTTTTTTGCAGATATGACATCGCGGCTGGAGATGTTCCAAAGCTTTGACCAGGATGGGCCTCCCGGTACTGATCAGGGGCGCTCTGACAAGAAACCAAGGGTTCCCTCCGTCACAAAAGGCAAGGATGCCATTGTAATTGTGCCTTCATCCATTGCAAAACGCAGGGCCGCTAGCCCCGCAGCCCGCGTCACCCGTAGCATGAGTGATATTCCCACGGCGGGGATGACTACTTGGTTACAAGGTAACCTTGAGTTACCTCCGCTCTTATCACAGGTGATCACGGCGACTGAGAAGGAGAAAATTTCAACACTTGACCATGCTGCTTTAGAGAAGAGGAGCCACCATGGCCTGGCCGAGGTAACCCCCCCATTTCCCCGTTACCTTTTATTTATGCATCTCGTGATACTAATTTTTTTTTTTTTTGTAGCTACTGTTGTCCATCTCCGAGGTGAACCGAAGGAAAGATGAGCGCGAGAAAGATTTGTCGCTACAACTCACCGAATTAGCGAAGGAGGTGGCATCGCTCAAGCTCGTGCGTGACTCACATGCAGCCGAGGTCACTGCGCTTAAAGAAATGCACACCGTGGAGTTGGCCAATGCAAGGGGGCGGGCCGTGGATGCATACAAGAATTCTCCAGAGTTCGTGTCTGATCAGGAAGCATACATTAATGCCCACTTGAACGATATTAGCAAGCATTGGTTGTCTACTCCGGAAGGTCGTGAGAAACTGGCCTTAGAGAGCTACATCTCCTACCAGATCGGGATATATGCCACTCAACAGAAAATATATCATATCTTGAGGGATAAGGCTGGTACCTCTTGCATCACTGATTGGGGACTTCCTCCTGAGGTTCCCAACCCTGAGATCCCGGTAGGCAACACGCCCCTGGACTATATTCCTTTTGACAGACTCCCCACTGATGAGGAGCTTGGCGATCTTCCTTCCGAGACAGATCACCCAACTTCGACTGCTTCTGTGCCTTAGAGCATGCATGGGAGTGACGGCCTAGGACAGGTCGAAAAAGTTTAGAGATCATGCGAGTGTACGTTGCCCCAGAGTTTTTCAGTCCAAACGCCATGACTAAGTAACAGAAAACACCCTCTGGAGTCATGAATGAGGTTTTCTCCGCATCCTCCTCATGCATGCGAATTTGGTGGTATCCACTGAAAGCATCCATGAAACTCATCAACTCGCACCCTGCTGTCTCGTCCACCAATTGGTCGATGTTAGGCAATGGGAATGGATCCATCGGGCATGCCTTGTTTAGGTCAGTGTAATCAACACACATCCTCCACGTTGGGGGTTTAGGTGCCAATACCACATTTGCCAACCATTCTGGGTATTTTACCTCCTTGATGTGGCCGATTTTTAACAAGGTGCCCACTTCTTTCCTTACGAATTCCCGCCTGTCCGAGGACATGTAACGTTTCTTTTGTTTCACCGGTTTTGACATAGTGTGTGACACCGCTCCCGAAGGTCCTTGAAAATTTGATTTAAAATTCAAAGTTTATGTATTGGATTTCTGATTTCCAAACATTTGTTAAACGATTAATGTTTTACGTAATTAATGACCGATTATTATACTGTTCGAACTCGTATATTAGTATCGGGCTGGCGAATACTCATTTTGGGCCCAACCTGCTAAAAATAGCAAGTATTCGAGAATGGCGTCCTGGATCCACTCGGGAGTGACCCACACGGCTAGTAGTCCAATAATATGTATGACAAATGTCAAATAAGTGATAGAATGATTAAAGGAGAATACAAATGCCTATAACCCCATCTTTGGCATTATTGAGCTAAATAATGGGAGTAGGATTTTCCTCCTATAATATCCATCAAGTAAATTATTGAGATGAGCCTACACATATTGGAGACCAATAATGTGATGTAGGAAGTTGACTTGTTCTAAATAAATTAGGATGAGTACAAAAAGACATCTTTTGACAAAAGATAAAACAATAGGACCCATCTTCCCATTTTTTTTGGAAGTATTGGTAGATATTTTGGACCCCAAAATGATTGGGATCAATTGGGAACCACTCCACATGCCTTGGTAACATGATTGAGAGCTCTTGTATACTCCCACAACCCCCCATTCGACCCCCCAAAAGAGATAAGAGAGCAAAGGTATCCACACAACTCAAAAGGGATGGAAGAAGGAGAGCAGTCCGCAGGTTCTTTCTTTAGTGCGAAGCTCTTACTGTTCGAGCCATAACTTGAGATTTACTCGTCCAATTAAGGCGTATAAGGTACCAAAAGAAAGCTCTCAAGACGAGGAATCCGTGGAGGTCTGGTTTGCATCAATCGGAGTGGTGGAAGGCTTCCAGATTGTCCGAACAAAACGCAACCTCGCAGAACACAGTTTTGTATTCAAAGTAAGTTTGAATCCAAAACCTTCCTTTTCATTTTCCAAATGATATGAACGATTGGTGGGACTATTATACACTACTAGAAGTGTATAATATGTCCTTATGAAGTTATTTTATTGATGTAAAGGTTAGATACTAACCTAGAGCAAATCTTGGAAAACTAGGAAACGAGTTAACCGGAAAACACCCGTTCTAGGGACTGTTTTCGTGTCATTCGGTTAGGAGTGGAGCTGGCAGCTGGAGGAGGCTGTTTAACACTCATTTCTAAGCAAGGAATCAGTTCTAAATCAACCTTGACCAAAGCCTTGACCATTGGATCAAGAAGGAAAAGTTTAAAGCTCAATTAAGGTGAGGATTGACATCTAATTGCTTACAACTTGTAGGTTAAGCATGAGATTACCTAAATGCTTAAATCATGATTTTTCATGGATTATGATGATTATATATTGATGAAATACTGATATAGTTGCCAAGGAATGAAATTTGAAATGATTTGAGAAGGTATGAATAATATGAGATTAAATGAGTATAAATGAACTATTTTGTGAAAATGGGCATTTTGCTCATGTATGAATTATGTGGATACATAAATAAATATTTGTGTATTGAGATTGAATACTTAAGTTGCTGCTACATAATTATAAATATGTAGAGAATTACAAATAATGAGGATAACGGTATGATAACAATAATCTTAATAGTATTGAAATACTAGTTAGTGATTATTGGAACTTGTTGATTAAATTGATCCTAGGGATTGGATTGTATGAAAGGTGCTTGAATATAGTTCAAGTGTATATAATAACTTAGTTTGGAACTAAGGTTAAGTTATGGGAAGTCTTTAAGGATGACCCAAAGTAGTTTAATGATATGTCAATTCTAGGCATAGGGTTGCTTGAGAATTGGACCTTAATGCATGGTGATGTAATAGAGCCGAGCTCTAGAATGCATGTAAGGTGTAGACTTGGAGTCTATGTATTGTATAGCTAGAGCCGAGCTCTAGGACTTGCGTGGTGATGTAATAGAGCCGAGCTCTAGAACGCAAGGTAAGGAAATTGACCCGAGGTATATGAATTGTATGGTGATGTAGTAGAGCCGAGCTCTAGAATACAATGTCATGTACTAGGGTTGGACTCTAGGAGTTGTCGTGGCTTATAGCCACGGGGTTGGGAATGGTGATTTCCAAATGAAAACGGGCCCACGGGCCGACTACTTGACTTTTATATAAAGTAAGTATATTTTTAAACGGGGTAACTTAGGGTTACAATCATAATGTACTATCACCCTATTTGAGGGTCTTGTGTTTGAAATACTTGTTGTATATCTATTAGATGCCTGCCACACCAGTACTTTATAGCCGTATAGAGTACTGACCCCTTCGGGGGCGTCCCACCACCATTTCAGGTTGAGGCTAGAGCTTGCATCCTGTGCTCGTTGATCGAGTGATTCCTCGGAGAGAAGACTTGGTTCGTGCTTCCTCCATTCTATTTGAAACATTAATAAATTTGCTCATGGATATTTTATTATAGAGCCTGCGTGCTCATGAATAGCCCTGTGTGGCCCTTTCGTTTTAAACAATGTTTTCCGCTGCTTTATGAATTACTTATTATGTTGTTTATGGATGACTTATGTGTGAATGATATTCATGACGCCTTGTATAATATGAATGTGTTGGATTGCGATTGACTATTCGTATTGTACGGCGGGTTGTTGACGTGTCCGGGGAGGTCCGGGGCGTGACAATTAAGTTGGTATCAGAGCCTTAGTCCATAAACTTCATAATGAAGTCTCAAAATTCTCTTTTTGAAAAGATTTTGAAAACCATGAGCATAGAAGTTTTGTACTTGGAGAGCTTTTGGTACTTGGGTTGCAAGGTCTCTAATTGTTAAGATGGTACCCTTAGCAATTGGTATGGCGGTGACTCGAGCCAAAATGTGTCTTAAGTACCTATCCGTCAATTGACATTTGATACGAGTCTAACGACTCTTTCCAAATTCTTTCAGAAATGGACCGTGGTGGCAGGATTACTAGGAGAAACCCGACCGGCCATGTACCAGTGGAGACTGGACAGGGCAGTCGAAGGACCTCTAGGGCATCTAGAGGAGCTGGCCGTGGAGGCCGATCACAGACCGTGAGTGACGGTCATGTCGACACGGAAAGTGAAACCTACTGGTCCTATGAGGACTCGACCTATCGACCGGAAACTGAACCGGTTGAGACCCCTTATGAAGGGGATGATGATGATGTAAGTGATGAGGAGGAAAATGGCTCCTTAGCACGGATTGAAGCACTACTTCAACAGTACCACCGTGAGCGTGAGGAGAGGAGGGAACGCCGAAGGCGCCGGGCTGGGCAGCCTTCGGGCGGGGCTTCAAGAGGGAGAAGCCATGGCGACTCTAGGGCCCACATTGAACCACATGGGGGTCGGGGTGATGGGGGTCCAATCATAAGGATCTCCAAATACATCAAAGAGGCACGAGACTTGGGGTGCAAACCGTTCGATGGGACGGGTGACATCTCCGTTTCGGCACAATGGATTAAACGGCTGAATGAGGCAGCCCTGGACATGCAACTCACCCCCGAATATAAACTAAGGGTTGCGGTGAGATTGCTTGAAGGTATGGCATCCAAGTGGTGGGATGGGACCAAAGGCAAATATGGCGAGACCGTCACTTGGGAGAATTTCCGACAGGAATTCTTTGCCCAATATTACTCGGATTTTGAGGTGAACAAGAAAGTGAGGGAATACACCCTTCTAACCCAAGGGGGTAACATGACGGTGAGGGAACTTGAGTACAAGTTCAGGGATCTTGCCGATTACATACCTGAGTATGCTTGTGACGAGAACCGGATGGTGAACCACTTCTGGGATGCTCTAGACTTGGAGATACGTGACAGGGCAACACAATTGCCTAACATGACGTTTGCCCAAGTGGTTGACCAAGGGTTGAAAGGAGAGAAGCAATGGGAAGAAAGGAAGAAGAGAGACGCCGAGGAGGCGAAAAAGAGAAAGTGGGAGAGTCATGGCTCCCAAGGTTCCAACAAAAAGGGGAACCACGGAGGAGGATCTTTCCGGGCACCACCGCCACCATATAGGGGGAACCAAGGCCCGAGTGGGCAAGGCGCGAGGTCACAAACCTCAGTGGTAGCTCGTTGCAACAATTGCAAGAAGAACCACTCCGGTAAATGTCGCGACCCCCTAGATGTTTTCAATGCGGGGATGCCGGGCATTTGAAGGCACATTGTCCACAATTGAGTGGGGCAAGGACATCGGGACCGAGTAGCGGTCCGACGGGTACACGGAATCAAACCGGGGCTTCTCAAGCAAGCCGGGGACACGGAGGGGCAAGTACAAGCAACGCGCCATCCGTGAACCAAGGGAGGACCCAGGCTAGGGTCTATGCGATGACGGAGGCGGATGCTCAAGCTAACCCGGACTCCGTCGCAGGTATTGCCTCTCATATACTAGTGTTTTATCCTTAATTAGTCCATAAATTGAGGATACTAATCGCTAGGATCATCGCACGAGGTTTTGGGGTCG